GTCTGGAGGTGTTCCCCTCGAGTCCCTCTTGCATCATGGTGGGGAAGTCCCAGTCCCTGCACAAGTTGCTCCCATTCCCAGTTGCTGGCAGCCGTGCCAGGCAGCCCTCGCAGCCCAGTGCCAGGGGCTGTGTCTGGATGGATGGAGGTCTCAGTGGTGCAAGGGAAGGGAGCACCAGTTGGGCCTGAGGTGGGAAGCCGCAGGGTATGACACGTCCCCACTATTGTATGGTAATAGGCTATGCTACTACGCATGAACAAGGTAACTGAATTGCAAAGGAAGGGGGGCTCTGATTAGCGCAATGATGAAAGTGGAATGGATCTTGTGATGTTGCCAGAAACCCCAAGATTGCATCAGAGCCTTGTTTTTCTACATAAAAAATATAAAACACTCATGATGAAGCCTACTATTGCTTTCTCTCAGGCCTCCATTGCCTCTGCTCTTTGCCAACAGGCGGCCCTTTCCCTCCAAGAATCTTCCATCAAGCACTGGCTGTGCTGAAGCCTTTGAGTACAACATCAGCTACCTAGGGAAATTTGAGGCAGTATGCATCAATTGTGAGATCTCATTCACTGTGCTCTTTTTCCATATGTTCTTTAGTTGGGGGACTGGAACAATCTAAGAGTTGTGGTTGAATGCCATGCAACACTTAGAATATATACTCTCAAGCGCATGTTAGTCCTACTTTGCCAGGCCAACATAAGTGTTTTTCATTGTATGTCAATGATTTGAACATGGTGGGGCCCTACCGCAAACTCAGATCTGATGAGGGTCCAACTCCTGAACTTTATCACAGTTTCCAAATGGCAATTCCAGTTAGAGAAAAGCCTCTATGTCAAGTGAGAGCCTTCCAAATTAAAACAAAGTGACCACTCATATTTGCATAATCACATAAAAATATTTAACAGTCCTCTATGCAGTCAAACATCTGGCACAATCTTGCATTTGTTATAGAAACAAAACTAAAACATTCAACAGCTAAGGCAAGACTTTTTTTTGGTCCAATCTGGGGGGGCATGCTTAGATTTTATTAATATTTTACTTTCAGGTCAAACTTCATTTAAAGCCACGTGTTTTGAATAACAGTGCAGTGTAGCATGAAGATCTTATTGCTTTGTGCTTGAGATGGATTCATTTCTCAAGAGTTGTGGAAGTGGTAAATGAAATATCCAGCTATTTCATGTAGATGCCTACAGATATTCAAAATGGTCTGAGAGATTGGTTAGGCCAAATGGAAGACAAGGTAGATTTGCACCTTATATGATAACGAAAATAGATGGCTTTATCTAGTGTATTCATGCAGTTCTGAACTCAGTATTTTAAGAAGGATGTAGAGAAACTGGAGAGAATTTGGAGGTGAATGACAAATAGAGCTGGAATTCAAACTCTATGAAAAAAGGCTGAGAGAAATTAGACATGTTCAGTTTGAAGGAAAAGAGCCTAAGGGGGCACATGATAGCAGTTTTAAAATATTTGTGAGGCTGTCATAAAGAAGAGGTGGAACAACTGTTTTCCCAGGCCGCAGAAGGCAGGAAACCAAGGAATGGGCTTAAATTTCAACAAAGCAGATGTAGATTAAATCTGTTAGGACAATATGACAATGCTGGCAAAGAAAGGTTTGGAACCTCCTTCACAGGAGGTTTTCAAGAGGCTGGATAAGTATTTCTTTGCTTTTGGAAAAGTGCATTCAACATTTATTCTGGGAGTTGGACTAAATTACCCTTGAGGTCCCTTCCAACACTACGATTATGATTTGAATTAATTACAATGAGAATGGTCCCTGAGCTGTGTTTGAAAACCCACCCTTTATGCCATCTCATGTGACACGGACTTTATAGGCATTTTAGAACATTAGAAAAGGTCTTGGGCTTGTTTATCATATGTGCTTGTGTAAAGTGAAGCTAAAGTAGTTATTGTAACTCCAACTGTGCAGGTCCTGGGGGGAAGAATAAAAATAGTAGAATTGTTTAAAATAAGCTTTTGTGGAGTTTTAACTCATTCAAGCACTTGTCTAAAATCTAGTTATTTATGCATTCACATCACAGCAGGTAAGTGGGCCCCTAGTGCAGGGCCTATCCAGAACTGGGGGCTCTGATGAATCTACTCAATGGCTTTTCTAATTTAAATGGGTTTTTTGTGGTTCCAGCCACCGGTGCTCCTTGAGTGGGGATGACCTGAACAGACAGTGGCTGGCTCCCAGCCCCCTGCTCCATCCAACCATTTATCACAGCAAGGGCTTCCTCTATTACCTGCGCAGCATTGGCCGGGCTCCACTGGTGAGTCTCTTCCATCCTCTTTTGTGTCAGTCACCAGATGGTGATCACTTGTACCAGGCTTCTAGAAAGGTTCCTTTCATTTTACAATCCCGCTCCCAATGAATTGGGGTCTCCAGTATTTTTGTGCTATGGACATGAGGGAGTGCTTGGAGACCTTTGCTTTACTGAGTAGCTACTGCCTCAGATCCATTGAACCAGTAACCCCATAATTTGAAGCTACTGCCCTGCCTGGACTACCAATCTGTGCCTAAGCTTCTCCATTTGTACAACGTGGGTAACAATACTCATCTTTCATGAAGCTGTTATTGGTTCTAACATGAACACATCTGTAACAGTGTAAAATTTTGTCAACCATTATTGTTACTAAAATCATTATTGGCATGTAGCATTTCTGGTACGTTAGAGAGAGGAGTTTGCAAAGATTTCTCATCTAACCAAGCATTTACATGTGCAGTCATGGTAACTACCTGTGGCTTTAGCCTGCACAAGACAGAGTCTAGCACAACAGAACTGAGTTCAGCTCATGTAGAAAGGGCTTGAATGTGAACAACATTATAAAAGCCAGCAACGAAAAAAAAAAAAAGACCAAACTTACATTCTTCCCTGGGGAAGAGAACCACTTCTCCTCCTTTCAGGGAGGGCAGTTATGAATGGTGAAGAAACTGCTATGCTTCCATGTGGATTAAGCTTGCAATAAGTAAAGTGAGGATGTTTACTTTTGCAGTGACAGCTCCTAATTGGGGGGGGGGAAAAAAGATTTGTGTGGAAAAAAAAAGAAAAAAGAATCAGACAAGTGGAAAACTTGTTTAAAAATATAAAATAACATTAATCAGCCATAAACATGACAACATGCTTCTGACTCCAGCTGTGACAATGTGAAAGGCAGCTGAGACTCAGGATAATAAAGTCATTGAATAGACCACTCTTTCACCATTGCCTAGTAGTCTGATATCAAAGTCAGAGCAAAAGACCACTGTGTCACTCAGTCTGATTTAGACCTGATTGGACAAATTGTTGTAACTCTCTGCTCACCTTTATGACCTGATGAAGGATGTCTTGTAATCGTATGACTCCCTTGCCCATTCTGCCTTTGCTAGTCTGGACCTTTTTTTGGGAAATTTACTTTTAGAAAATGCATGTTTCCATTTTGGGGGCAATGCAAACTGGTGAGAAGGGTGCAATCCAAAAAAAATCCCATTCTCTTGGAGGCTGTGATGAGTCCACCTTGTACAGGAAGAAGGCCCAGAAGAACGTGTCCAAGACCTCTGAGGGAAAAGCAGAAGAAGTTCAAAGTGTTTAAGTGCAGACTCAGACTGACAGGCAGGCGGCAGCAGCCTTATCTGAGGAGTGCGTAGGGAGAGACAACCTATATACAGGAGCAGTCGCAAAGTGAAAGAGCTTTCTTCCTGGCTTGATGAAAGAAGGCCAGATGGAGATGAATCAGCATACCCTTCCTCCACCACACAAGTATCAAGCTTCTGCAGACATGGAGAGCCAGAGGGAGTCCAGCCCCTTAGAGGCTCAGTTATGAGTTCTCAATCCTTTTCTGTGTGTGGCACTGCAGGAGGTTATCCCTATTTACTCTCACCCCTACCTTTCTGTCTGTTTCTCCATGCTGTTTCTTCCTTTTTCTCTCTAATGTGTCTGCAGTTTTGTTCCACTCCCACGATGGTCATATCCAGGGGCCTATAAGCCCAGTGTAGGTTGTCAGTGCTCCTGACTGAAGGCAGGCTATTGATTAGATTGTCTCCCTTGCTCTCTGCCTGCATGACAGGCTGTTGGTAAACTGATTTTTCCCTGCCTTTGAAGAGTGCATTGATTTTAGTTTACACCGTCTCAAAAATACCTTTTCCTGATTCCGGAAGTAAGCTAGGTTTATTTTTTTTTTTCCAGGACCCTGTGGATTCAAGTTCACCGATAGCCAAATGATTTCTATGAAGTGATTTAGTCTCATTTATCCTGGTGATGTGAGAGCAGATTCTTCAAAGCAGAGAATAGGCAACTTGAAGGAGAAAGGGAAAGACCTTTAAAGCCAACAGGCTTTCAAACCAAAGCCAGTTTAATTGGCCACTTCTCCTATAGAAAACAATAGGCTAAATTTCTCTCTTTCTCTCTCTCACGTGAGTGTGCACAGGCATGCACACGCACACACACACATGCACTCACTCACACTCTGTCCAAAGAAGAGGCCCCAGCCTCTACTTTTGGTGCACCAGGATCTGCATTTCATTGCTCTAGTCATTGTGGAATCGTGAGTGGCACCTAACATGTGCAGCACTGATGGAGGGATTTGGTCCAGTCTAGACATGGACTTTTTTATGAATTTATGAATAATATGATTGTCATGGGGGACTTCAACTTCCCTGACATCTCTTGGGATGAGCACACAGCCAAATCTGACAGGTCATGTAGCTTCCTCACATGCATCGAAGGCCTCTACCTAACCCAGGAGGTCTATGGGCTGACCAGGGGAGAGGCATTGCTTGATCTGGTCCTGGCCAATGGGGACCTGTGGATTGAGGGGTAGTGAGCAACCTGCGGATTGAGGGGTAGTGAGCGATCTGCGGATTGAGGGGTAGCGGAAGTCCTTAACTTTGGGAAGGCTGACTTTTGAACTGATAGAATTAGTCAGTCAGGCAATTAGAGGCCGTACCACCCCCAGAAAAGGGAGTACACAAAAGGTCATTTCTTAAAAACATAATCCTTGAAGCACAGGGCAAAGCCGTACCATCTCACAAGAAATGCAGTCAATGGGCAAGGAAGCCCCCATGACTGAATAAGGAACTCTTGGACCTTATTAAGCTCAAAAGGGTGGCCTACACCAGCTGGAAAACAGGAAGCATTACCAAAGAGGATTACTCTGCACTTGCCCACACCTGTTGAGAGCGGTCGAGAAAAGCCAAGGCACAAACTGAATTTAGGCTAGCTACAGGAATCAAAAAGTCCTTCTTCAGATATGTGGGAAGTCGGAAAAAGAACAAAGATAGCATTGGGCCCCTGAGAGATTCAATGGGGCATCTGACTTCCAATGCCCAAGAAAGGGCCAATCTCCTAAATGACTTTTTTGCACCAGTTTTTTACCCTTCCAGGAGGATCACACTGTCAGGAAGAACATAAATCAATCTGGGAATGGGCGATGGGCCTAAAATTGATGTGGATCAGGTGAGGGAATACCTTGAGAAACTGGGCATTCACCAGTCTGTGGGTCCAGATGGAACACACTGAAGAGTCTTGAAGGAGCTGGCAGACATCATTGCATCCCCCTTGGCAGAGATATTTGAAAAATCATGGCACGTGGGTGAGGTCCCATATGACTGGAAAAAAGCCAACCATGGTCCCTATTTACAAGAAAGGGAGGAGGGATAACCTGGGGAACTATAAACCAATCAGTTTTACATCCATCCCTGGAAAAATCCTGGAGAAAATTGTCAAGGGATCCATCAAAACCAGACAAGCTTCTGAATGTCAGCTAACATGGCTTTGTGACTGGCAGGTCATGTCTAATAAACTCATCTCCTTCTATGACCAGATAACATGTGCCCTGGACAAGGCAGATGACATGGATGTCATGTATCTGGACTTTAAAAAGGCCTTTGACCTAGTTCCCCGTGATGTCCTCATGGTTAAGCTGGAGAACTGTAGCCTTGATCATCATACGGTCTGATGGCTAGGCAACTGTCTACGGGGTTGGACCCAAGGAGTGCTAGTTGAAGGAAGCAAATCAACGTGGCGCAGGGTGACCAGTGGAGTCCCTCAGGGCTTGGTACTTGGGCCAGTACTCTTTAACGTCTTCATCAACCATCTAGATCTGGGAGTCAGATGTGTACTGGCCAAGTTTACGACCGATATCAAATTATGGGGGAGGGCGGTCACACCGCAGGACAGGCTGGGGATACAGGCCGACTTGGACACACTCTCAGTGTGGGCCATCCAAAACCTGATGGCTTCAGTGCAGAGAAGTGTAAGGTTCTGCACCTCAGTAGGAAGAACCCCCAGAATACCTACAGGCTCAGCAGTGCTATGCTCGCTGGCACCATGACCAAAAGGGACTTGGGGGTCTTGATTGACCACAAGGCTGTGACGGAACTCCAACTAGCTACAAGTATCAAGGACAATAAAAAGTCCCTTTTTAGATATGTGGGGAGCTGGAGGAAAAGCAAGGGCAACATCGGACCCTTGCTAAACCAAATGGGACAATTGACAGCCTATACCCAGGAAAAAGCCAACTTACCAAACGGGTACTTTGCATCAGTTTTTCACTGACCCAAGGGGCGCCCCCGCCCATTACAGGATGGGGACACCTGGGTGAGCGTGATTCCTTACCCTCCATCAATGCTGATCTTGTGAAGGAACACCTTGAGAGGCTGGACACCTTCAAGTCAGCCAGCCCTGCCAGTTTACACCCCAGGGTACTCAAGAAGCTGGCAAGCACTATAGCTCAGCCCTTGGCATGGTTCTTCAAAAACTCTTGGTGCTCTGGTGAAGTGCCCAGAGACTGGAAGAAGGCCAATGTGGTGCCTATCTTCAAGAAAGGGAGGAAAGTAGATCCAGCAAACTACAGGCCCATCAGCCTGACTTCTATCCTGGGGAAGGTCTTGGAAAAGATTATCAAAGAGACCATTTTTAACAGATGGCAACATCCTGAGGGATAGCCAGCACGGGTTTGTTGCGGGTAGGTCTTGCTTGACCAATCTTATTTCCTTTTATGACCAGGTGATCTATCACCAGGACAAGGGAGAAGAGACTGATGTCATATATCTTGACTTTAAAAAAGCCTTCAATCTGGTATCCCATGATCACCTCCTAGCAAAACTGGCCAACTGCAGCCTCAGCTTCACCATGATTCGCTGGCTGGGGAATTGGCTCCATGGTCAGACCCAGAGAGTGGTGGTTGACAGAAGTCAATCATCGTGGTGCCCTGTGACCAGTGAGGTCCCTCAAGGCTCTGTCCTTGAGCCAACACTATTCAACATCTTCATTAATGATGTTGACATTGGTAT